TCAAAAATTGATCTCTACAACGGGTATCATCAAATCATAATACGGCCTGGAGACGAGTGGAAGACTACATTCAAAAGCAAGGATGGCCTTTACGAGTGGTTGGTCATGCCTTTTGGTTTATCCAATGCGCCCAACACTTTCATGAGACTAATGAATTAGGTTCTTCGTCCTTTCATCGGTTCTCTTGTGGTCGTTTACTTTGATGACATCTTAATTTACAGCAAAACAACGGAAGACCATTTGGAGCACTTGAGGAAAGTGCTACGCGTGTTGCAGGAGAATAAGTTGTTTGTCAACTTAAAGAAATGTACTTTCTAAACTAATAAGCTCTTATTTATAGGTTTCGTCATTGGCGAAGATGGGATTCAAGTCGACGAATAAAATGTACATGCCATTCGTGACTGGCCAACACCTACGACAATAGCGGACGTTTGAAGTTTTCATGGCCTGACTACTTTCTATCGACGATTTGTGCGTGACTTCAGCACAATCACTGCTCCTATTACTGAGTGTTTGAAGAAAGGAAAGTTCCAATGGGGCGCCGCACAGGAGCACAATTTTTCACTAATCAAGGAGAAGCTGTGTACCGCCCCTGTACTCGCCTTACCTGACTTCGACCAAATATTCCACATGGAGTGTTATGCCAGTGGGGTTGGTGTAGGTGCTGTTCTTTCCCAGGAGAAGCGACTCGTGGCCTACTTTAGTGAGAAGCTCAGTGAAGCGCGAAAAAAGTGGAGTACGTATGATTAGGAGTTCTATGCCTTGTTTCATTCTCTACGTCAATGGGACCACTATCTTGTTCAACGGGAATTCATCCTCTTTACGGATCATCTCGCGTTGAAATTCCTACATAGCCAGAAAGTCATTTGCAAAATGCATGCGCAATGGGTGAGTTATTTACAAAATTTACCTTTCATCATCCAACACAAGTCGGGAGTCCAAAACAAGGTTGCGGATGCGTTGAGCAGGAGGGCATCCTTGTTGGCGTTGTTAGCTCAAGAAATTTTGGGTTTTGAGGTCCTGAAAGATTTATATGTTGCTGATCCAGAATTTGAGAGCTTGTGGTTTAAATGCATGCACACTCATCCTAGTGGTGATTATCATGTACGTGATGGGTATTTGGCCAAAGGGGATAGACTTTGCATTCCTGTCTCCTCGTTGCGTGAGCAGCTTATTCAGGAGCTACATGGCGGCTGTCTCGCCGAGCATTTAGGACACGATAAGACGATAGCCATCTTGGAAGAACGTTTTTATTGGCCCCATCTTCGTCGTGACGCAGGTGCAATAGTACATTGTTGCTATGTGTGTCAAGTCTCCAAAGGTCAATCTCAGAACAGCGGTCTTTATACGCATCTTCTCGTCCCTGCTGATATTTGGCTCGGCCTTTCGATAGATTTTGTCTTGGGGTTACCTCGCACTCAACGCGGTGTGGATTCGGTTTTTGTGGTGGTTGACCGATTCTCCAAAATGTCTCACTTCATTGCATGCAAGAAGATAGCTGATGCCTCCAACATCGCCAAACTATTCTTTAAGGAGGTTGTTCGCTTACATGGGGTTCCTAAATCCATCCTTTCTAATCATGATACTAAGTTCCTCATCATTTATGGCTTACTTTATGGCGCTTGTTTGGTACTGCGTTGAACAGGAGCTCTACGGCCCACCCCCAAACGGATGGACAGACAGAGGTCACAAAGAGGAAATTGGGCAACATGATTCGGAGTGTTTGTGGGGATACACCACGCTAGTGGGATCTCGTCTTACCGTAGGTTGAATTCGCCTATAACAGCACGGTACATTCCTCCACTGGTCGATCTCCCTTTTCTCTTGTTTATACTTCCTCACCTCGGCATGTGGTTGATTTGGTGGAGCTTCCGAAGGCTTCTGGTGTGGGTAGGGCCGCTACTGACATGGGTAATGATATGCAAGCTGTCAAGGAAGTAGTTCGTGCTAAACTTATCGCCAACGACACAAAAAAACAAGGCTGCCGCAGACGCCCACCGTCGTGCTAAGTTTTTCGCTGAAGGGGATGAGGTGATGGACTTCTTACGGAATGAGAGGTTTCCTCTTGGAACTTACTCTAAATTGCAGCCTCATAAGTATGGGTTGTTTAAGGTGTTGAAGAAAATTAACGACAATGCTTATGTTTTTGAATTGCAGGTTGATATGAATATCTCCTCCACCTTTAACGTGGCGGACATCCATGCATACCATGCGGACGAATCGCTTTATCCAACTGCTACGAACTCGGGGCGAGTTCTTTAGAGGTGGGAGAGACTGATGCAGGGCAGCTTAAAGCCCAGTTGAAGGAAGCAGCATTGTTCGAGAAAAGAGTCATTTTCGTTAACGACGGCTAGCTGGAAGCATGCATTACGCGGACATTATTATTTGTTGCATACTTGCATTACATGGACATTATAATTTGTTTTATTTTGTTTTTGTTAAGTTTGGATTGTCCTATAAGGACTCGGTTAGCACAAGTAGTATTTAAACACCCTTTGTTATGTTAAAAGACTCATTCTTTCGGCTTTAATCAATTAAACCTAAGGGTTTGTGTTCTCTGGTGGATTCTGGAGGTGTTATTCGTGAAGCTTGCAGCTGGCAGGCTTGTTACTATTCTTGTGGATTCGACGCTAGCGAGTCCAATTGGTTTCCGACTGCGTCAGTCTATCATCTATTACGAGAAAAATAGTTGAAGAGGGGATACTGAATGGAATCAAGGTGGGTAGACATGAACCCTCTATATTCCATTTATTCTTTGTTGATGATAGCATTTCTTTTTTAAGAATACCATAACAGAAGGAGAAGTTTTGAAATAAATTTTGGAAAGGTGTAAAGAATGATCAGGAAACCAAGCCAGCTTGACCAAACTTGAACTCTCTTTTAGCACAAATGTCAATGAGCACGAAAGACCATCTATGGTTGATCTCTTGGGTATGAAACAAGTATTACAACATGATAAATACTTAGGATTACCTACAATTATTGAAAGGTCAAAAAATCAGTTTTTAGTGTACTCATTGGCAGGATAAGAAAGAAGATAAAGATGTGGAAGAGTAAATTACTCTCTAATGTAGCAAATGAAGTACTGATCAAGTCCATATCACAGGCTCAAGCAATATATGTGATGTCTGCTTTTCTATAACCCTAAGAGTGATACAGGGAAAGACTATGCTTGACAAATGAATAAGGGGAAATGGGCTTCTACAACTTTCATGGCTTTAATCTAGCTTTACTAGGAGACAAGTCTGGAACCTGATACAAAACCCAGACTCAATAGTAGCTAGAGTTTTTAAGGCAAAGTACGACTGTAGCACCCAGCTATATCCGAAGAAATTTAATGGCAACCAAACATATAATAAAGGATGGGACAAGGAGGTGAGTAAGGGATATAAAAGAATCATGACATAGTAAACTTATTGGGGAGAGACTTTAATGATCGTTTCTCCTTCTTGACCACATGACTAATTAAATTTGATTTGGCTTACAGTTTGCATTGAAATCGAGTATGTAAACTCAATCCATGGTTATGTAACTAACGGGTCGTTTGCTTCATGAATTTGAAATATGAGGGTTTTGATAAAATTTGGGTTTTGAAAAACTATGGATATATGATGGATTTGGTAGCATTATGGATTTGGTAGCATTATGGATTTGCTTGTTGGATTTGATAATGGATTTTATTTGATTAGATTTGTGAATATGAAATACAAATTACCTTGTTACCCTTATGTAATTATATTTCCATTAAAAACAAATCTAATGCATACAAAGTAACTGAACTTCTACTTTGTGAACTCGTTCAATTACAAATATAGAAATGCATAATAGTTTGGACATGACACAACTCCCTAATTTTTGGATCCAACTGTCGATCCAGCAATAATGCACAAGATGAGCATAAAGTGTTAGAAATATCAATAGAGGAGTAAATAGAAGACTCAGTAGACGAAGAAGTGAAATTCAACCACAATTGAAAATGTCCCGATTGTTTGATCAAACTCGAGCACCATGCTTAATCCAAAATTTCATCCCGAAATTCACAATTTATGCGAGAAATTAATGTTAAACAAGCCCAAAAAAAGAAAGAGACAAGGAGAAACAAACATGAGAGTCCCTTTATCATTCATTGCTCTATATGAAAAACTGAGGGCAGAGAGTTGGAGGCCGCTACCGAGGGAGAAGGAAGGGTAGATTAGTCATTAGGTAAAATAAGTAGGAATAAACTAGTAAAATGCCATCATGGATTTAAATCTATCACCCAATTCCCACCTCCATAGGTGGAACTTCCAAGTCTGTGGGGTCCACAGATTTGGACCTCCAAACTCTGTGGGCCCCACGGATTTACTCCCTCCAATTCCATCAAACAAACAATAAACTTTTGTCAAAGTCCATGATAAATGCAAGTCCATCACCACAACCGGTAAATTATCTTCTTAGTTTTGCATATAAATCGAGTGCGTAATCTCAGTCCCTAGTTCTTGTTGAGGAAGGATTTATTCTGAATTTTGGAAGAAAGAAATAGAAAGAAGTAGAGTTTATTTGAGTGAGGAAATATAATTCACAATTCTTCGTTCGGTTCACTTACTTCCATGTAGGAATGGCAATGGGGCAGGTCCGAGGCGGGTATCTCGATACCCATACCCGCCTCGTGGTAGGTCGGGTCCAGGTTGGGTATTTTATCACAGGGCGCGGGTCGGGGCAGATCGACTCAATGGGTATCTAATTTATGTGAAAAACATTAGAAATATTCATTATTTTCATTAAGGTTTTCATTTATTTACAAGTTTATTATAGCTAAAATATGAGGTAATAAAAGGAAATCCTAAATAATTTGACTAAGATTGCATGTAATTTAGGGAAGAACGAGTCAAGAATGGGGCGGGTCGGGACAGATCAGGTTGATTGGAGGTATCCATGCCCGTCGAGTAAAACGGGTCAGGTCAAAATTGCCATCCCTACTTCCAAGTTCCCGGTGAATAGTGAAATAATGAATAGCTCAAAGTTACTGCCAAGCGCAACGAACAGAAAGAGGAGACGATTTCTCCAATTACCGCATGAAAATTGTGCTTTTGCCTTCATCACATCCATATACAAAAATCGCCTAAATCTTTCCTCAGAAAGTAAGGCATCATATCACCTAAAGGGACAGCGTATGCACATAAATAACTACTAAGCACCCTCTCCCCTCACCACCCTAACCCTAAACACTTATAAACACTGCTAAAATGTTGCATGAAACGACTTCTCTCCCTGACTTTTTGTAGGACACTTTCATCTGAAGAGCATTTTGAGGTCCTCAATCCTGGAAGTCCGGACATCATCCTCCGCTAGAGCTCCAGCAATCATCTTCTGCTTCTTGGCCTGAACTTGCAGCAGTCGTTCCTCCACCGTGCCCTGTTACACGTTCTCGTTTAGCATCAACGCTTTCGCTTTCATCCACAACCAAAAAGGCAACACCACCACAAGAACATAATATCATAGACAAAGCTCTCATTTGTACTGAAATGTCAAACCTTGGCAAGGTCTCATTCTCAAATTGGGTACCTAATCAGTTTGGTCAATGCCTAACTATAGATATACAATCGGACTATTTAAAGTGGTCAACCCCCTTTTTTCAGAAAAACAGGCTAAAAAGGGTCAAAGAACGGTTCTTTTTTGGTGGGTGCAAATTTTGACGAATTCCAGAAGCTAGGGGGAGGTTGTTTTAATTTGAAAAGTAAGAGATCTGAAGGGGAAGGATTTAGAATATACTTCACCTTGACAATGAATCTTCTAACTCTCACAGTTCTCTTTTGTCCTATCCTGTGAATTCTCATGATTGCCTGTTCTTCAACTGCAGGGTTCCACCATGGATCCTGCGACATAAGAACTTCGTCACCCATGAAAGGTTTTGAGGATAGTTTTAGCTAAATGGGAAGACCCTGTGGAATTTGTGGGAACTGTACCATTATAAATACATTTGAAGCAGCAGTTAGATTCAGCCCCACCCCACCAGTTTTCAGAGACATCAGTAGAACCTGAAATGTTGGGAAAAGAAACCAAATTAGATTCTTCTGAAGATCCATAGACAACCATCCACAGGCCATTAACCAAGGTGGTTTCAGCAGCTGCTTGCTTACCCTTTTCACACTGCTCTCGTTGAACTCCTTCAAGACTCTCTCCCTGTGCTTCTGAGACAATGTCCCATCAAACCTCAAGAACTCAACCCCCTTCTCCCTCAGTGGGATTTCCAAGAGGTCCAAGAAAGAAGTCCACTGGCTAAAAATAATACTCTTCTCCCCAGAATAATAAGCATCAATTCTTTCCAAGCAATCCAGTAGCTTAGTGATCTTGGACGAACCTTTCCAGTTCTTGTGAATATCGATCTTGAACTTGGTCCCAGATGGACATGTTCGTAGCTGGTATTCGCTCACTAAAGTTCGACACAGTGGGCATGGCCCTTCTGTATTTGTTGTCCAGCTGGTGAGGAGACATTCTCTGCACATTCTATGCTTGCATGGAGTTAGAACTGGGTCGTCTGCTGACTCCAAGCAGATGGGACATTCAGTGTGTTCTCCTTTTCGGCTTCCTTCAACAGCTTCTTTGCCGTTGGCTTGAGTGGCAGCTGTTGTCTCCGTAGAGGCAACAGAATCATCATTTGTTTCAAAGAATCGTTTGGCAAGCTTGTTCAAGTCCCAGTACTTTTGTAAATCAGCTCGACTGCATAAAATGGAATTAAACACAGGAATCAGGAGGTTTATTTTAAGTTATCATGAACTAGCATTTGACTGGTTCCTGAACGAAATTTCTTGAGTCACCTCATGACAAGAAAAGGATGGTTGCAACACTGCCTCAAACGAAGTAGTAGCTCAAGGACAGAGGCATACTTGTGAAGAACTTGGCCTTGTGCCACTAAGCTGTCAAATTGTTCCTGTACGAATATAATTCATTACTCATCTAAGTCAAACAAGCTCCATTATTTGAAAATATGACTTTTGTACTAACAGCTACCATATGCTTACTTTTGATCTCCTGAAAAGGGCTTCATAGAGGTCAAGTTCAGCTTCTGATTGCTCACATGTGAGCACTTGAATTTCAGTTGGTGGAAGAACCAGAATCGGTCTGCAATAAAAGGTACAAAGATTTCAAATTTCAGTAATCGAGATTATGGCAAGGCAACAAAAGAAAAGCTTAAAGAGAAGGTTCAGCACCAACGGGAATATCACCTTCCATAATTGTCTTTGGTTTCCTTGGTTCTCCTCAGCATCAGTGGTCTCAGGATGGCCTTGATAAGTTTAAGTGCTCTTGGATCTCCATTTTCATAAGGTTTATGGATCAATTTGTTCCACCTACATAAAACTCATATTTAGGACTTCATTACAAGTACAAGTAATAGAATGGGTTTTAAGTATCCGGAACTAATAATCAATTAGGAATGAGATGATCATACCATGACCAGTTGGACCAAGGTTCAACGTGCAGAAAGCATAGAAGGCTGTAGATATCTTCCAAGTTGTTCTGCAGCAAATTAACGAACCCTTATCTTAGTTTGTAGAATCACATACAAAACCAAATATTACATGACTAATAGTGCAAATCAATGGAGTAATATAAAAAAGGTGGTAGCCTGTATACCTGAAGAGGTGTCCCTGTGAGACACCAGCGGTATTGCGATGACAACAGGAAGGAAGCTTGAGCACCTTGTGACTTTTGGGACTTGATGATGTGAGCCTCATCCAACACAACCCTAAACCACTCTACCTTATGAAAAATACTCGCACCCACACCCTGAATTGCAGTAAATCATGTGTCAGAAATCCTCAGATTCTGAGCAAAATTATCGTATTTAGTACAGCAAAGTGCTTACTTGTTTATAAGCTGCCGTTAGGACACCATAAGTTGTCAATATCACATCATATCCGGAAATGAGCCTTGGATCATTCATTCTCTCGCCGCCATAATGAACAAAAACAGACATACTTCCCGGCTTTGCATGTGTCTCGAGCTCATCCTGACCCAAGTCATAAGAATCAAATCGACAAGCAGGGCATTAGTGATAAAGAACACAGAACAACAATTGACCACCAGAGAATTGTAGAGGCTTGATTTCTCTTTTGTTATTGAATGGTAAAAGGGTTTCGTTGCAACTGAGAACTTACTTTCCACTGGTGAAGCAATGCCATGGGACAAATAATAAGAGTCCCACCACAAGGCCTACCAACAACACTTCCTCTGCCTGGTCTTGCAAGTAATAGAGCAATCGTCATTACAGTCTTTCCGAGACCCATTGCATCTGCCAAAATCTATCCAAACAAAAGGGGGGAAAAGAACATAGAAGTACAGATGATAAGCAATCAAACCATGGAAAATCGCCACAAGTTCCAGGGCATGTGTAATGTATAACATTAAAACTAACCCCTCCTCTTGTTATCTGAGTTGCTGCTGGAAATTGAAAGGTAGCTTCTCCAGAGAAAATATTCACGTAAATAGAGGCTGCCCTTCTGCAGAATAACATTTGATTGATTAGAAATCACAGCTCCATAACAGTTTTTAAGAAGGAAAAACAGAATACATGCTACTTACTCATCAGATATATTATACGCAGCCCAGCATGGATGAAGCAATTTGGACGCTTTCTCATCATCCATCCCCTCTTCTGATTCACACATCCATCGAAGAGCCTGTTTCTGGTATGGCTTTAAATGGCAGGTTAAAGTGCATGGGGCCTCCATTTCCTACAAAATTAACAAATGGTCTAAGTTACCACACATATATTTCCATCTTAGATCATAAACCAAGACAGGCACAAAAAAGCTCAACCAACACTATACCATTAGATCATAAACTTCAGCAGTACCAACAATCTTATTCAACATCGACTCGGAAAAGGCTTGTTCATCCTTCTCTTGTTCAGGAATCTGAACTCCTCCGCCTTTTCTCTTCTTCACAAGCTGTAACGCTGTAACTGAATCGTCTGCATCATCCTGAATGCACCAAAAACCATCCTTCAATTACTCCATAACTATGAATCTCATGACACATTAGCAGAACAATGAATTACCTCAAGCTTCAAACCACGTTTTCTTGAGTGAAGCTCTGATGGAGTGAACTCAGCCTAATTAGAACACGCCAGGGAAAAAAGGGTCACCACAAAAGTCAGATGCTTTGCATCATTCAAATAAAAGTTCTCGAACCCTCCTACCAAAAAGAAGTAAAGAGCTACCTTTTGGTATGGCTTTAGTTCCAGCAGCTTAAACAGGCTAAGGAGAGGGTAAAGTGAAGGATCAATGTACGTGTTTGATTCCAAAGTCCACGTCGAGCTATCCAACGTTATAAACATTGATCGGTGTATATAGAAACTGCAAATCGACAAAACAAAAGCTTGAGCTAGAACAAACAGTAAAGGACATAGGCATAAAGCCAAACAAATCCCTTTTGACGCCTTTTTACCTCACATATAAGAAGACCTCTTGCATCATTTGAAGAGTCGCCGGTGCTGCCACGCATCTACCGAGGACTTTAACCTTACGAGAGCTCATAAGCGGAACAACGGTTTTCCCCCATTCCATTGGAAGCCGACCAACCTATCATTTCATATTAGCATTTATCAGCAAAATCACTAGAAATTCAAAGAAAGGGACTCGTATATTAGCAAATTGATTGAAGCCCACCTCTCCGCATCGTTTGGTTGAGAAGCGGACGATCCATTGGGCGTTAGATTTAGAACTTGACTTGGAGTAGTTGAAATAGACGATCTCGTTATCAGCCAATTTCCTGCCTCTGGAGGTCGAAACGGCGGTCACCATCGTTCTACCCACCAGATAGTAACCCCGGTCTTCTGGGAACTCCCCGTCTTCCACCACAAGGCCGTCGATGATCCTCTGCACCGGTTTTTCCGGGATCTTTGGTGCGCTCGGCTGTGTTTTCTCCTTCGCCGTATCTGCCGCTCCGGCTGCCTCATCTTTCGACGCCGTCTTTTCTGCCTCCGTATGTACAGGCTCCTCTGCTTTTGTCGCCGTCTCTGCCTCAACAGGATGCTCTGCTTTTGCCGCCGCCTCTGCCCCAAATGGCTTCTCTTCAGCCGTTGCCGGCGCTTCAGGAGTCATAACTTCTGCTGACACCATCTCGGTCTCCATAGGCTCGTCTTTCACGGTCCGCATGCCTCCTGCTAAAATCTCAGCGGCTTCGAGCTCCTCTTTCGGTTGCATTGGAGGCTGCTCAACTGGCACTACTGTTAAAGGAACCGCTGCAATTGGGACAACAAAGGGTTTCTCATCGGACTCTTCCCGGTGCTCTTCCTTCACAACGGCGATCGGATTGGCGGAATCAAAAGGCTTCCCTTCCACTGCTTCGCTCTCCGCCTTCTGGTCTGGCTTTTCGCGTCGATCTTCCTCCTTGAGCTGCGCATGGATTTGGACTCTGTTTCCCACAACAGTTCGACGGACGGCGACGAAATTGTCGAGGATGTAATGGGCGGCTCCGTCGTATTTGTAACCGGAATGCTTTAGGGCTTCCTCGAGACGGGAGTCGGAAATGTCTCGGGAAAATCCTTTGTAGATCTTGTCGGCGGGGTCTTCGTCTGGTGCGATTGAAAACTCCATTGTCGCCATTGTCTGAGCCGATGTATTTTGGGTTTAGAGGAATACACAGAGGAAGTGAAGCAGAGGGATAGAGAAGATGAAGAAGATATGGATTTTCTAGTTTGGGGATTTTATAGCTTAGGAAATCCGCGCGAAAATTATTTTTCGGGGGTAGAAAGTTGGCGCTCTTTTGGGGGTTTTGGCTCCATTTTCCAATCTTTACCCCTTGGGAGCATTGATTTTTTTACCTTTTTGACGCGGGAAGGAAAGGCGCGGTGGGATTTTTCACTTTTACTTTTTACCGGCTTTTGCTGGCTGGGCCTGGCAGCGGCATCGGCAGCTCCTGGAGTACTTCTATTGGGCCGGTGTTATAGGCCGAGGCTTACGGGCCCGCATTCCCAAGTGTCTATAAACACGTGGCCTGAAACTACTGGTTGCCTGGGCGGTCTTATTAAATCAAGTACGTCAGACTCAAAGCCTGTAAAATGGCTGGGCCTGGAAGTGGCACTGTTGCAATTTGCATATAGCCAAGATCTCTGCCTTTTCCAATGGACGCACCACTTCCAAGCTTCTTCAGAGTCATCCTTCCTTCCATACTCGAGAAAAAGAAGCTGGTAACTTCCCAATCCCTTCTCAGCACTTCTCCAACCATCTGTTTATAGAATCGTGATCACTCACTCTGCTTGCTCTTGCCAATTTCGCAGAAGCTGCCCCTGAAGTTCGTCAAAATGCACGGGTCCGAACTCGGGTCGACGGCTGCACTTACCTTACCGAACGGTAGAGTGTGGAAGGTTGGCGTGGAGAAGGTGACGAGCAACGACAGCGAGGAGATCTGGTTCGGAGACGGTTGGGGTGAGTTTGTGGCGCACCACTCCATTTCCGCAGGATTCTTTCTGGTGTTTGAGTGCCAGGTGGGTCGCTCTGCCTTCGCCGTCAGCATCTTCGACTTCACCACTTGCTCAATCGAGTATCCGAAGACCGAGCAGCTCGATGAGGATCAGACGGGTTCCCCTCATTGCATCGTCATTTCCTCCGATGACGAAGAAGAAGGAGATTGCGAGCCCATCACAAGAAACAAGCTCCGACCCAGAAAGCGGCAAACCTCCGATCTCATCATGACCCGTAAGCCATTTGTGATCTGCATTTGCATGCAGGTGGTTTTACAGAAGTAATTAATAATTGATTAGTTGGGAATTGATTTATTTGGGAATGCAGCTGAGATGGAGAAAACGCTGGAGTGTCTCGAAGCAAGCGGGATTGCGACAAGAGGGCGGTTCCACCTCATGTTACCTAAGGTTTACAGACAGTGCAAAAAGGGGATCGAGGAAGCAATTGCATGCAAGCCCGAAGACCGTCCTTGCTTCATAGCCGTGCTGACCTCTAATCAGATACGTGGGAGCACCAGGACCGTGAGTAGCAGTCGGTTTTTTGTATATATATAAAAAGAAATCTAGATCGACACAAACATGATGTTTTTAGTTAATTTTGTGGGCTGCAGACAATACCAACTTGGTTTGGGAGAGAGCATAAGATTGAGAGAGGATGCAAAAGGAGTGGGATTCTGGTGGTGTGCAATGGGGAAAAGGCAGGTGAGCAGTGGCGCGTGGACTTGGCAAGGAGCGCGTTAAGGGAAGAGGTGTTTATGGGGAAAGGATGGGGAAGGTTCATGGACGACAACAGTTTGGGAGAGGGAGATGTGTGCCTCTTCCAGCTGGTCTCTTCAGAGGCCGATCCGGTGAAGATGGACGTGTCCATCTTTCCAGCCCAGCCCAGTGACTTAACAGAATAGATATCAACGTGGGCTAAGCGTAGCCCAATTACTGTATGGGCTTGTATTTTGTTGGCGATGCGCTGTTTCTGTCTTAAACTTAGGTTGAACATGTGGATCTGTCCCTAGAGGTGAATATGTTGTTTCTCTGCGTTTATTGTCGTCAAATAAGGACTGCCGTCAAATAAGGACTGCCTGTGATTATTAAGTACAATAGCATAAACACCTTACAAGCGATCCCCTAGTGAAACCATCTAGTAAAGTTGAAAATTGGAGTCTGACCTAGTTGTAGCATTGTCTTGCGAGGTAACGACATGAGGTTGGTAGAATTCAAAAGTCACTTTATTCTAAACTTCCAAATCATGACATGTCGCCACCATACACTAAAATTAACAATAGCCCGAAATCATTAAAGTTGATCAATCCCACTAAGATCCACAACTTGGTGGAAAGAGGGCATCTGAAAAATAAGTGTTCAATGCTCTCTTGATGTCGCCAGCACACATGACATCGATTGAGGTAGTTAACTCCACGGGTTTGTCAGGCAACCACTGTGTAAAATAAAAAATTACAACATACTTTTTGAAACCAAAGAGATTTCCTTAAAAAAAAATTCAACCAACACATGGGACTGTTGCTATTGCTTAAACAATTATGAGCATATTAATTATGATAATCAATTCAAATAACATTTTCATGTATATGCGAGTGCAATTATGATAGCTAGCTCCGCCATCTCTCGTCGGAGAAAGCACCATTGGAGTAAAGGCATACTGACCCATACTTTGCAGCGAGATTGAGCAGTAATTAAAGGAGGAAAATGAGATTAAACAATGTTGTCAAAACCGAACCGGACATCGATTCGGATTAATGAGAGGTTTAAGGTTTATCGAATAACCATTGATTGACCGGTATTAAAAACCAGTCATAAATAGCTACTTGACTCCAAATTATTTTTTTGAAAAAGTATAGAGTAAGAAGAAAAAAAATACCAAAAGAATAAAAAAAAAATTAATAAGAGTAGTGGGCTTTAGGGAGTACGGGTAGGAATTAGGATGACTTATTTTTCCGTTTCCTTTACAGTTAAATAAAAGCCAAATGAGAAAATTTGAAACCCCATTTCAAATTTTCTGCATCTAGAGTGAAAGTAGCAAGGACATTTTGGTCTTCACAATTACTTTTTTTTTATTCATTAAGACACTTACTAGGATTCGACCATGACCACTTTAAAGAAAAGCAAAAATCATAACCAATCACACTAAATACATTTGTTGTATTTTCTTAAATTAAAAACATATAATCGGAGAGAGCAAAAAACCATTTCCCCATTTCAAATTCCTAACTCCATGAGCGTTTGTAGGAAGGGTAGAATAGGGAGTGTCAATTTTTTTCTTTTTCCTTTGTGGAACGGGCCAACTTACCGTACACATGCGGATTTAAAAAGGGTCATGGAGTGTCAATTTTTTTCTTTAAGTCTTTTTATTTCTCCATGGTGGTAAAATATATATGAAAAGGCAAAAACAATACTCCTTTTTATTGCTAAAAAGAAAAAAATTTAACAATAAACTAATGCATGGATTCTAATGGGCTAACCGCTAATCATAAATAAAAGAGTTGAATGGGCCTGACCTACAAGAGATTTGCCCATGGAGTAAAACAAATGAACATCATGGGTTTGCCATTCTAAAACAAGCTATTTTCTCTAGCATAATATATATTATGTTATTATTTTATATCTTAGTGGCTAAAATATAATGTATTTTAAAGTTATTCAATGGTTCAACCTCGACCAACCCAATTAGTCCAATATTAATCATTTCAAATATAAAGTATGTAATTATTTGATATCATAATGATTAAATTATAGTGTATATTATAGGGAATTGTTTGGTATTTGTTAGTAAAAAACTTAACAGAAAGATATATTTGGATATTTTTAACATTAAAACGATCCTAAACATTTTCAGTTTCCTTTCGAAATTCTATAGTTTTATTCCCGAATCAGTGATGTGCAAATGGCGAATTGCAGTCATCTCTTTTCTTTCATTATTTTTTATTTTCAAATAGAAAGTTTAAAAGTAAAGAATAATTAGAGTTTGGCATGGGTCGGTCAAACAGGCTGAATTTCAAGTTTTGGCCCGTTTTGATTAAGTCTAATTTATAATCACATGGTTCCCTGATACCCGATAAAAATCTCAATCCAAACCAGTTTGGCAGGTGAGTCCGTGTTTACCACCATTTTCTAGGGACGCAGGAACGATGGTTCCTATCCCAAATCGTGATGTTCATTCTTGATTTTTTTAGATTTTATCATGGCTTGCGAAAAATCAGAAAGCACAATGATGTCAAGATGAAAGTTTTATAAAGCAAATTAATCGGCCAACGGCCTAGTAAAAGCTAGCAACGATTGTGAGATGCTCATTTCCCGAAAACCGGTGGGATAGGCGATTTTTTATTCCATTTTCTGGAATTCAGTTTCAAGAAAACTTACTCCACCTCATCATATTGGCAGAAACAATATTGTTTCACAAGGTACCAGGTACTTGATTTTGGTTCATAAGGCTGATTTTTGATTCGTTGCATCATTCATGTCTCTTTTCTACTAAAATTCATTGTTTTTATCACGTGTTTCCCAAAAATAAAATACAACAATAAGCTATACACCCCATTACATTATCAAATTTCATACCTCACCTTCCTCCTGCCAAATGGCCGGGGCCATGCTAGTAATTAATTAAAAGTTACCAAAAATGTATGCGCCAATTAAGTTTTCCATCCAGCCCTTTTTTTTGCTTTCGGGGCCGGACTTGTGCCCGGATCCGGTTTTATAACACCGGGATTAAGAGTTTAGTAAATAGCTTTTTAATACTCGTACATTAAGAAAATGAATTCTCAAAACTGGCCACTAAAGACCATATCGCACCATTAATTGGACGCTTAAATGACATTATTGTCATTTGCAACGTCCCATTAGTCCGTTGACATTTCATACATGAAGTATTTAATCGCACATAATTGGCCTTAACGGTACTTGTCGTTGTCGAGCAAAGGCTCGCCCATGATGTAACCCCATCCAGTAATTATTACTAATTAGGGGGGAGTTAATGATGAAGAGAGCCAGCTTAACGGCTCAATCCCAACTGACACTAGCTTACAATGGCTGCCTGACTATGCCACTGGCTCCCGGCGCACTCCGGCAGCAACACAAGGACACAAGGATTGATAGAAAACCAACAAACCTTAACAGTGGACGAGGAGGGACCGAGGAAGGGGTTGTCGGAGAGAGGCTGAAAAGACAACCGCTAAAGGGATTTGGCATCACAATTGCCGGCGGAGTTGCGCCGGCAGTCGTTGATGAACATTGTGATGAAGAAGACCACAAGGTAACAAACGACGAAGGCGGAGACGATCCACGTAGCATGTTACTTAGCAAAGAAGAAGGAGGAAGACAACCTTCATCGTTGATACAATATTTAATACGACGGCTCATGATCAAGGCCAGTAATAGAGAGTCCACTTGTCCTCGACGGCGAGAGTTCCATCGCTTGCATACTACTTTGCAGCGGGAGGTGAATCTAGGGTTTGGGAGGCGAATTATTAAGTACTACTTTGTTTTAGGGCTAACCTAATTTAGCCTAAACATATTTCCAGGATTTTTTTTTCATTATGTAAGAAAACAAATCTCAAGTTCATAAAATCATAGTTAATAGCTTAATTATAAAGTTATGCGTTTATAGATAGATGATGTTAATATCTTATTTTGATATTGATAGCTTAGCTCTGCCAATTACTCCTAGGCGACTCATACACTCCCCCGTCATATTTTGGATTACTAATTCATTGTGGAATGCTAGACAGAAACGTTTTTGCGTTGTCTAGCACCTAAGCGTGCTTTTTTAACCTATATCCCCATTTCAAAGGCAACATATGTAAATGTAATTAGCTCATAATAATATACATTAATGTATTTTATCTCAATTAGTGATTAGCTCGAATCAGAAATGATTGTGAAAGGATCGAATTCAGTTGGTACTAGTGGACTATATTGGTGGTTACAAGCTTGGCAAATCTTTATATTGTTATGCTGGTTTGACAAGTAAAATGGTTCTATCGGTGGTATAACAAATTTATCCTATTATGCCGGTGTTAATAGATAAATCACAAAATTAAAAATCATCAATACTAAATAAATTATTTAGGAAAAAACAACTAAAAGAGTCCATTTACAAAGAATAATTTATAGTTAGGAATTGATAATTAATAGTAAAGAATGTTATATTCTCTCTCTTTTTGCTCTCTCTTCTGTCTTCTTTCTGGTTTTTCTAGGGTTCCCGATGTCAGCCTCGCCGTCGGCTGCTCCGGCTGGCGAGGGCAATTCCTGGGCGCAGCTATTCGAGGTTGCTCCGGAGAATCGGCGTCAATATCGTCCGCCGATCAAATTTCAAGATGGGTTCCGGCTACCAAAGGAGGTGAAGGAGAAGGGAGCGGAGCTGTGGAAGAATTCCCTAATTGGACAGTTCGTTGGGACTAGGACAAAGGTACCGGAGCTGCAATCCTGGGAAAATGCTCTCTGGGGGCGGGATGGCATGGTTAGAGTGACGAAGTTTGGATCAAAGCTCTTGGTATTTCAATTTCCTTCAGCCGCTTCGTGCAATTGGGTTTTCCAGTCAGGGCCTTGGCACTTTAGAGGTAATCCCATCTTCATTCGCAAATGGAAGTCAGGTATCCAACCAGTAGTTCCTAAGATTGAGACGTTGCCGATCTGGGTGAGAATCTGGGGTCTTCCTCTGGAATACCTTGCTCCAGAAGGGTTGGAATGGGTAGCGAGTATGATAGGGCGCCCATTTTGAATGGATCAGAAGATGAGGGTTGGAGGTCACTTAGAGTTTGCTCGGGCGTGTGTTGAGTTCGCTGCTGATTATTCCTTCCCCTCCTTTATTCGGGTTTACCCAAAAGAAGATCCTCCGTTTGAAATCAGAATCGAGTACAGTAATCTCCCAAAGGTGTGCTCTAAGCGTTGTATGTTTGGGCATAACTGTGAGGAGGGTCCGCAACGGGTTTGGGTCCCTAAGATGTCGAAGAATACTAAGGTAGAACTTGGGGAGGAGTCGGTTGATCAGGTGAATGTTTGGGAGAATGAGTCTGTTCCTGTTGAGGACATTCTCAATCACGTTCAAGAGTCTGCGATTCAATGTGTGATGGAATGCTTGGCTGAGGAGGCTGTAGCACAGGATTCG